ACTCAAGTTGAACAAAGACAGGACAGAAAAAAAACCCAAATCTCTCCTTTTTGGGGCTCCTGCATGCTTATAAGTTACCAGAGACTCAGTGCTGATTTAAATGCCAAAGCAGGCACATGTGTGTGCTAGATCCACTGCTAAACTAGCGGGACCTGGGGAAATGTTGCCAATCACAGTTCCTACACTATTCTCATAGTATTCTCTAGAAGACTAGCAATTCAGAGCATGTTATGAATAAATTATTTTTTCCATATGATCTTCTTGTCATTAGAAGCCATTTGGCTATAAAAATAATCTTGATCTAATCAAACCTAAATAAATGACCAAAATCTTTCATTAACAATATTTATTTTTTAAATTTACTAATATATTTTAGCTTCTTTGTTTCTAAAGAAAGTACAACACTAGTAATGGTTAATACTTATCGCACACTCACTCTGTGTCATAGACAGGCTACTTAAATGTCGTAGATCATCTAATACTCACATGAAGACTATTTTTATATTAGCTTCATTTTTCTTACAAGTAAGGAATCTAAGGCCCAGAGGAACACAATTTTGGTCTGCCAAAATGGGAAAGTTTTAAGTCTGTAGCAGATGTTGGCAAACTACAGTCTGTGGGGCAAATTTGGTCTGCCAGTTATTTTTGTATTACCCACATGCTAAAAAGATAGTCTTCATATTTTTAAATGATTCAAAGAATCAAAAATCTGAAATTCAAATTTTATTGTCCATAAGTAGAGTTTTATTAGAGCACTGCCACTCATTGTTTATGTATTGACTATAGCCACTTCACACTATAATGGCAAAGTTGAGATGGGACAGACAGTATGGACCTTCACAGAAAATCTTTACCAGCATGTTACCAGAAAAGCTGGCTCCTTAAGCCATACCCAAAGAAACATAGATCCCATGGTTTCCCTCATTTGTAATAATTAGTATATGGCTAGGACAGGCCTGGCAGATGAGCAGGATAGCTCAATATCTATGTACATATGACCATATAAGATGATGCTAATCAAAATGAACTCCAGGATAGGGAAACAAGAGATTTTTCTTTGCTGTTGTTTTTAATGTACTATGTGTTTTTAATGTATTTTAATGTACTATATTTCTTGTGTGTTTTTTTCCTATGGTTTATCCCCTGTTGTCACTGTATTTGATTTTGATACCCTGGATATTGTATATACATTTGTCTGAATTAGGGAAGGGAAGGGGAACAACAAAATGGTGAGACAGGACAAAGGGTGAACCAATGCAACAGCGATACTCACAAGATAATATGTTGTAAGTGAACCCTACAACTTGGGGCAGGGAAGCTGGGGGGAGGGAAAGTGGGAGAAAATGAGGGAGGGGGTAACAAGTTCAACAACAAATGTACTGACTAACTTAACCTACGTAACTGTAACCCCTCTGTACATCACCTTGACAATAAAATTAAATTTTAGAAATGCTGACTCTGCTCTATAGTGCTAGCTCCTATATGCTTCCCCAGCGTAGTTCCTACATGAGTAGTGGACTATTGAGAGGCTGGATGGATCACTTAACTTCGTGTGGTTGAGTAGGAGACTGAATTAGTATAAAAACTAAGACTTCTCACAGCTAGGCCCCACTCTTCATACTGAGTATTATTTTTGTCTAAGAGTCCTAATCTGTATACTTAAGAACCTTGCCATTGAAGTGGATAGTTTGTTTCTAAAATTAAAATACAAGCAACACAAATTTGTTAACAAATTACTACCATTTGCTTTGAATACTGATCATCATTTATTAGTTTCAGTCTAGATTTCTAGGCTAAATACATGATTATTATCTTATAGCATCTCCATACACAATTTGAGTTTAAAAATATATAGACATATTGATATATATAATGAATGTGTATGCATACATGCATGTATGTAAAGTAACATGTAATGTTTGTAGTGTGATATATACAAAAATGTGAATATATTTAATTTATACATATATGCTAGACATATAATTGTGTATTTGCCTATCACATCTAACTTACACATTTATATCACATGCACTTTTACTGTTGCACATACCCACATGTCATTTTTGTGAGAATCATAATGCAACCTGATTTTCCCCTGCTAAGGCTTATTATTAGCTAGTACAATCTACTAGCATCCAAATAATCAGAAAGTTTACTTAGCTGCAAGACTCACTCAGATAATCTGTGTAAAGAAACTCTATGCATGGATATTATGGATATCTTTATAGCAAACTTCATTCTCAAAAATGAGAACTGAAATGCATATTAGAGTGAATATAAAAAGTAATCCTAATAAATAATTGGATTTATTCCATTGGTTCTCTGAAAACAATTGAAGACAAAAATATCTGTCAACTTATCTCCTATTTAAATCCATTACTTTGCCAGACCTGACACATCATTATTTAATTACATTGCTTAAATTCTCAAGAAAAGGTTTCTTAAGAAATGCCCCATTGTTGCCCTAGCAAACATCTCTTCCAAACTGCTTTTAAAGGGTACCAAGTAATTTTCATTTAAAATAGTCATTGAACATCTTATATTTTTGGAAAAGAAAATGAAAGCTGAAGGAAGTAATTAAAGCCAGATTCTAACAGTCAATGCATCTGAGGCTCCAGCCACATAGTCCACGTGTGCTGTAGCTTCCAGTAAAACCCTACAATGAGGTAATTTTTTATTATTATCTTTATTACTATTGCAAAACCCAACCAGAGGTTAAAAAAACGATTTTTCTCATTAAATGCATTAAATGTATTATAAACTTTCAATGCCTCATGCCAAAAGGCAACTCTCTCCTATAGTTACCTTTTATAAAAACTGAGAGAGAACTGCTGATAAATTCTAGCTAATCTAAACATCTCAATTTAATCACCTTATTTTGCTCCCTTCTGTTCTCTTTTGTAGATCCAGATAAGGAAGTTGGCAGCGGGATCATCCTCCCTACTTTTTTTTTCCCTTCTGGTAGAAGGCAAGGAGAGAAAAAAAAATCACCTCATACCAAGAAATAAAGCCAACACACACACACACACACACACACACACACACACACACACACACACACACACACTTCTAAAAATCAGGGAGGAGGAAACAAAAAGGATGAGATGATGAGAAAGAAAACTTTCTTTTTCATGAACATGAATGCAATAGTTGATCTGGTCCAACTAACGATGAACAATTTCCATGCTCCTTTTTTACATTTTTATTAGCACCTATTGTCTAACAGAATGTTTGACATGTCTGTATATATATACCATGTGCCTTGATCAGATTCTCCTCCGATGTCACTCTTCCCTCTCCCCTCTCCACTCCACATCTATACCATCAGCTGCACTGTTCCACTTTCACTCGTGCACATGAAGTGTTTGAGGCTCTTTACCATCCTTCAGCCTCTCCATTTGTCCTCTCCACTCCCACTAGTACCCACACCCCAGACAGGACCTGTCTTCAGATCCAGACATTAATGTCCTTCATTTATTTTTTCAGTGTATTGCTAACTGTTCAAAGGGATTTCACTGTGGCATTTTACATATGTAATTTTATACTTTACACAGGCAAATATTTTCATCAAATTGGTCCCTTCAGTTACTCCAAGTCCCCCTTAAAATATCTCTCTTAGATCATTGGATATAAATACCAAGATTTTTAAGCTTAAAGTTTTTAAAAAATGATCTTGCCAGAGTAAGGTACCAGTGGCACACTTCTGAAATCCTAGCTACTCAGAAGACAGACATCTGAGGGTTGTTGGTCAAAGCCAGTCCAGGCAGACCAATCCAAGAGACATTCTTACCTCTAATTACCAAGCAAAAAGCCAGAGGTGGAGGTGTGCTTCAACTGGTAGAGCACTAGTCATGAGCAGAAAAGCTAAGCCAAGAACAGCAGGCTCATAGTTCAAGATATGCCAGAATTCAGCTATACAACTACATAGTTAAAATATGGCTAAACACATCCACCTAATATAAAGGGGTATTTAAAAAGTGCCTAGAACCCATCTTTTTTCTTTGGATAAAGCTTTGTATAAATGCATGTTTAACCCTTAATTATAGTAGGTAAGTCATAGTTTACCCTGGAAGAATCTTTTGTCTCTTAATGGGTTATATACATCTAAATGTTTGTATTTCTATTATAGAGTTATAATCTTGTCCAGTACAAAAGTATGTAATTCTTTCTAGGGGTGCTGAGGCTAGTAGGTAGATTCCTTAGAGTCCTGTATTCACAGACTAAAACTGAGGAGGGAGGGTTGACATTGTTTACCATACGCCTTTTAAAGAATAGTTCCTGATTGTGTTACACTTTACCCTTACATATTATTACATTGTCATGATAGTTGAGATACAGCAAAAACAATTTGAAGTTGGGTGCCAGTGGCTCACATGTCTAATCCTAGCTGCTCAGGAGACTGAGATCTAGAGAACTGGATTCAAAGCCAGCCAGTCGGCAAAACTCTATGCCCAAAATAACCAGCAAAAAGCAGGGGCTTGAACTTGGGCTCACACTCTCCCTTGGCTTCTTCAGCATTAAGCTTTCCACTTGAGCCATAGTGCCACTTCTAGCTTTTCTTCTAATTGGAGATAAGAGTCTCATGGACTTTTTTGCCCAGGCTGGCTTTGAACTTCAACCCTTAGATCTCAGCTCCTGAATAGCTAGTGCCCAACACCAGTATCCTGCTAGATTATGTGACACTTTTAATCTATACAATGCTTTCTTTATTCAAGAAGAGTTTTTGTCACATGGCAGATCGTCACTCTCCAAGTCCCTATTTAGCCTGTGAGTCTCACATGAAGAAAGAGGTGGGGAATGCAGGGAGAAGGAGGGAAGGGAATGTTCTGCACTTCAAGGACTACAGACTTGACGAAGAACCCAGAGTTCATTGTAGCTCAACCACCATTCATACATGCTCAGTTTCTCATCCACTTTTGTCTACTGTGACTTAGAGTTTATTCAATTTATGCTAAACTTTTTAATCTTAATTCTTTAATAGAAGACCTTAATCATCTTACCTGAATTCCCACATCAGTGATTTTATAACACTCAGATATAGAAAGTTCCTTCAGTTTTTTATGTCTGGAAAGTATTGACAAACCCTAAAAATGTAAAGAGCATTTCATGAATAATTTAGTACAGATGGTACATTTCCAATCACTACTTGTTCAAGCTAACAACATAAAAAAGACAACCACTTATGCAAACTAATTAACTTCTGTCTTGTAACTTCTTGATATTTAAAAAAGCATAAAATCATGTTGACTAGAAAAAAACTATTAAGTAAAATTTTCCTGTTGTCTCAAATGGTTTATAAAGTGTTAGAGAATCCCAGAGCAAAATAATTCAAAAGCTGCTATGTTTCCTGATAAATGCCGGCTGAATCACCCTTTCTTTGAAGATACTCCATGTGGCTAATGTTATATATATATATATATATATATATATATATATATATATATATATATATATATTCAATTAACCGAAGAAACAAATATATATATATATATATGTGTGTGTGTATATATATGTATATATACCTTCAATTAACCATCTTCCTTCTTCAGCCTTTTGAGTACTGGAATTACAGGCATAAACCACTACCCTCAACTTATATTCATCATTTTACATTTTATTTTCAGGGCTGGTTTTCATTTTATCGATCTTAAATACAACATTTGGAACATAATTGAAAATGATTTTTTTCCTGGATGTACAGATTAAATCCTCTCATTTAAAGAAAAAAGAGAAAAATCCAGAAAAGAAAAGAATGATTAATTTAGCTACTGTTTAAACTGTGGTTCTGATTTTGCTCAAAGGTCCTATATACTACTGCAAAATCTCTCAGTTGATTTTTTTAATGTTATTGTGTCTCTGTGTCTTTTGCTAGGAACACATTGTTTTCTTCCTCATTTCCAAACAAAGAATAGCCAAACCCTGTGGAGCCATCACATATGGTCTGCATCCCAGATGTTGATGATATTTTATATTCATGCTAGAAGAACTGGAAGAGTTTAGATATTCTCCAACAGGAACCAAATTATTTGAACAAAAATATCAAGAACTGCAAAGTTCATCACTGCATCCTATATTTGATAAGATATGCTTTATTATTCTATTATAAAACTGTCCTATGAAATTATCTCTTAAGTGTGCATTTAGATTTGTGTAGACTAGCTAGAGGTTTTTTAAGATTAGCTACAAGTAAAATGCACTTACTAAATATGACATGTATCAGTCTAGATGTTCTTTACCACTTTATTAAAACATTCTGAAAACTAAAATATTAAAACAGAATGTATGCTTAATCAATACCATTGTTCATTAAAAAAAGGTCAAAATTAAATTGATCAATACCATAAATGCATAGTGAGATGTCACAACTCATTTATGAGGATGACTAGAATTAAAAGGCTAGACATTAAAAAGAGTTGATGCAAAGCCGGGTGCCAGTGGCTCACGCCTATATTCCTAGCTACTCAGGAGGCTGAGATCTGAGGATTATGATTCAAAGCCAGCCCTGGCAGGAAAGTCCATGAGACTTTTATCTCCAATTAACCACCAGAAAACTGGAAGTGGCACCATGGCTCAAGTGATAGAGCGCTTGCCTTGGGCTGAAGAGGTCAAGCCCCATGACCAACAACAAAAACAAAAAAAGGGTTGATGAAGATGTGGACAAATTTGCATCCTTATACAGTGCTAGTAGCAACTATGGAAAATGATGGTAGAAATCTGAAGATGGTCAGCAACTATGGAAAATAGTCAAACAGTTCCTCAAAAGTGAAACACAGAGCTGGGAGCCAACTCTGTGTAATCTTTGCTACTTGGGAGGCAGATACTGATTATGGTTCAAGGCAAGTCCAGGCAAAATGATCCCACCCATCTCAACAAATAGTTGGGCAAGGTGGCTGTTATCCTAACTATCTAGAAGCTGATAGCAGGAGGATTGCAGTTCCAGGCCAGGTCAGGCCAGGCAAATGGTTCATGAGGCCCCATCTCAATAGAATAGGCAGGTGTGGTGATATGAGCATTTCATCCCAGCTATAGTGATAAGAGTAAATAAAAGGGTCACAGTGCAGACCAGCTTAGGCACAAAGCAAGAACCTTTCTCAAAAGTAACCAGAGAGCTGGGTACCAGTGGCTTACACTTGTAATCCTAGCTACCCAGAAGGTTGAAATCTGAGAATTACAGTTCAAAATCAGCCCAGGCAGGAAAGTCTATGAGACCTTTATCTCCAATAAACTCCCTCAAAAAAAAAATCTGGAAGTAGAGCTGTGGCTCAAGTGGTAGAGTGCTAGGCTTGAGCAAAAAAAGCTCAGGGATAATGCTTAGACCCTGAGTTCAAGTCCTAGGACCCCTCCCCCCCCACACACACACACACGAAAGAAGAAGAAGGTCTAGAAGAAGGAGGAGGAGGAAGAGGAGGAGGAGGGAGGGGGAGGGGAAAGAGGGGGGAGGGGGAGGGGAGGGCAGGAAGAAGAGTAAACAGGCTGGTGATGCAGCTTATGTGGTAGAGTGCCTGTCTAGAAAGTGAGAAGCTGTACTGCACCCTCCAAAACACCCTACAAAGGTGACACTTAGTTATCATATAACCCAGAAATTAGATCCAACTCAAGACAAAACATGTCCACACAAAATTTTATACATGAATGTTCCTAAAATATCCAAATGCCTATCAACAGATGAATAGGTAAATAAAGTGAGTTATATCGATGCAATACCATGCTATTTAGTAATCAAAGGTAGTAACACAAGCTATTTTATGGAATAACCCCAAAACATAACATAAAGTAAAAGAAGTCAGAATCAAAACCCATATATTATATGATTCCATCCATATGTAAAGGCCAAGATGGGCAAATGCATGAAAACAACAAATAATATGTGGTTGTCTAGGGCTGACCTGGGGCTGGAATAGGGCTAGAGGTGGCTGCTAACAGAAAGGATCTATTTTTGGAGAGATAAAAATGTCCTGGAATTTGATTCTTGTTATGGTTACACAACTCTGAATATATTTTAAGCCACTAATTGTATACTTGAAATTAGTGTGTTTTTCTTGCATGTTGTGAATGGATGTATATTGAATTTTTAAAAATTATCTGAACTATTGGCCATAAAATTCCTCCTAAAGTAGAAGCCATGAGCCCCATAAGTTCATTGTTTGTTTTATTTAATACCTTGGGATGAATGTCTTAGAGGTTAGTGACTAATGCTAAACTTTTACCTCTGTAAAAGATGAAAAGGATAGAGCAGCAAGGCAGCACAAATGTAAGGAGGAAAGGGGAGACTGCAGGATGGAGTGACTGGGTTTTTGGACAAAGACAAGCTGGAGTCCACTTCCAGGTGAGGCATCATTGCAATGTGGGTCCTCCCTGGTCTCCAGAAGCCAGCCAGACTTACAAGGGCTCTTGTAGGAGAGAGGTTTATTTTCCCAAAGAGGCTAAATTTAATAACTAGGCAAAACAGGGGAAATGACTTGGCGTGGGAACTGGTGACGTTAGCATCACTGCAGGTGGTGCAAGAATCTGAGGCTTCAGGTATCCTAAGAACCAAATGCTCCTCTATAGCCCATGTAACGGAGGAAGCTGTATCTAGGAATTCCTAAGCCAGTATCAGGTTCGTTTGAGGAGAGTGTCAAGACACAAGGTTCAAAAGAAAGCATAGACCAAGTCACAAGAGCCTTGTACATTATTCTAAGGAAAAAAAAAGGGCTTTGACCTATGCAACACAGACGGATAGAGCTTTCCCTGTCGAGAGAATACAGGCTGCTACCTAGTGAGCATAATGAGAAGAACTAATTGGCAGGTGTGACTGCTTCCAGTAGGAATGAAAAGTTGGTCTACAAGAGCTGTTTAAAGAGGAAGAAGAATTTGAAGGAAGCTTTAAAGATACAGTTTATTCTTGACAAGTAAAATAATGGGAACAGTGTTTCAGATTGAGGAAGTGGCATGGAGAGAGACTTCACTTGGGAAGTGTGAGTTGTTTTGGAAGTAATTCAGCTTGAGGGTCACTGGGCTGAGTGGGAGGGGAGACAGAACACTGCCAGGGACAGAAACATCCACACAAGATGTTGGAAGCAGAAAATCCATGAACATTTTTCCTCCAATTTTACATCTGGAATTGTTTAGCTAATGTAGATTAGCATTAGCAATAAATGAGTTACCAAATGTTGGGATGGTGTATTTGTCTGCATGTCTGTGTGTTTCTGTGTTGTGTACTTACTATACAGCTGAGTCATACTACTTCTGAATTTACAATATCACTAACATAAATGTAAAATGTCCTCCTCCCAGCTCTTTATTTTACAAATACTCAACTTTACAGAAAAGTTTTGAAAAATGTCCCATTAAAACTTTTTAAAGGGGCAAGGGAACAGAAAAAGAATAATATGGGATGAATATGAGTAAAGCATATTATGTGCATGTGTGAAAATATCACAATTAAGCCACCTTGTATAACTAATATGTGCTAATAAAAAAGATCAAAAGAATGTTACAGAGAATACCTCTTACCAAAAATCATCAATTATAATCATTTTACTATATTTTCTTAACTACTGTATATATGAACATTCATATTTTCTTCATGTACTTATATGAATATAGTTTAATATTTCTACACATGCACATGTAACTATTTTTACATATTTGCACAGAAATTTCTCCAAACCTTTTGAAAATAGATTTCAGATAGCATGGTGCTTTATCCCCTAAATATTCTCTATACATCCTTGTAGGAATAAAGATGCTCTGCTGTGTAACTCTATAGTATTATGTGTACATTGTATAACATGCATGGCATTAGGAAACCTGACAAGTTCTAGTAATGCCCTAATAGTTAATAATACAAAGTCAATAATTATTTTTTCTTATAGCCATAGCCCCAGTTTGTGAATTGCATGTTTGTTATGTCTTCTTAGCTTTCAGCTTTGTCTTTCAAGACATTGACTCTTGAAGGTCCCAGTCCAGTTTCTGTGGGGAATTGCTAATTCTCAACTCACAAGTGGTTTTCTCGTGTTGTTTTAGAGGTCCCACTTCCCTGGACCTCAGGCTTCATTTGTGTGTGTTCTGTGCATATGGGTGGTCTCTTGCAAGAGTATCA